AAGCTTGTCTTTGGTCCTCATCCACAGAATAACAACGGCCTCTGGGGATTCTTCTAGCTTAAATTCTGAAATGGTTTCTTCTAATCTGTTGTCATGTTTACCTCTAAGAAAAATATTATTTGGCAGCTCATGCCTGTACTCCAAACTCCAGAACCTCAAGCAGGAGGATTGCTGTGATTTTCAAGCTAAACTGAGCCAGATCATCCACACTCACAGCGTGAGACTCTATGTCAAGAAAAAAAAAAAGAAAGGAAAAAAGAAAACAGCAACAAAAAACCACTACATAACATTTTCATGTTACTCAAAAATGTATATTGATAAACAAAGAATTAAATATAGTCAATTTGTTAATAAGCAACTGCTCAATGGAGATAAATAAGAAAATTAAAGCTATTTTATTCTACATTAAACATTAGTGTTCTATATAGTAAGAATTACCTTCTACTTTCCAATATCAAATACACCTTTTTGTATGTGTGAGATGAAATTTATTACACATAATTATAAATGAAATTGCCTGGAATACTAACACAGGCTCATAACTTAAAATGTCAAGAATTTAAAACCTTTAATCCCAACACCTGGAAGGGAGAGGCAGAAGGATCTCTGTACAGAAAGTTCCAGACCAGCCAGGACTACACGGTGAGACTCAACGACCCCCCCCACCAAAGTATTTGAAAGAGTTAAACAGCAAACATAAATATAAGAAAAACTGCTTATGATTCTGTTTTAAGTTCCTCATCTCTGAGCATTTGAATCTATGAGACCACTGTGTTACAGCATCTTCACTGACACATAGGAAGGGAATTTACTTTGTGTGTCAAAGAACCTTATAGCAGCTTAAAAGCAAAAAATACTGATGGGTTATCTCCTATATTGTCTTAATGTTAAAGATTTGTAATACCGCCAGTGTCTATGTTATGTTTCTTAAAATGTCTAACTCCAGGAATTCAGACATAGTCTACCAAACTATACTTTGTAAGTACTTATAAGGTCATAGAAAGCAACACCTTTATTATTACATACAAAAATGTTATTTCATGTAGCTGATAATGTGGTTTCCTGCTTCATGGAAAGAACTATGTGACTCACATTCAGAATTTCCCCACTTTTCTTTTGGGCAAAGTCTAGCCTATTTGAAATGTCTGAATTTCCCTTCAATCTTTCTAAAAAGTGCAGTGGGATGTGGTGGCCCATGCCTTTAATCTCAGCACTCCGGAGGCAGAGGCAGGTGGATCTCTGTGAGTTCAAAGCCAGCCTGGTATACATGGTGAGCTCAGGAGAGCTGGGGTTACAGGAAGAGCCTGTCTTAAAAAGACCAAAAAAAAAAGTGCAGTGGGAATTTTTCTTCATATATATGGCTACCTGTCACCAGTCAGTTGGTTGAGGGTTCCTTTGCTCTACCTGGATGGAAATTATAGATAGAGAAGAAGCCCGTAATGTACTCTAGGAGGTTTGATTTCCTCTGTGTTGACACTTCAGGGTGATTAACAGTCCTTCTCCCCTAGTCTGAGACTCTTGGCTACAAAGGCTTTATAGCTCTCTGAAATTCTTCTACTGAGCAACTCCTGCAAGTTTTCTTCCTTCCTTGGCCACTCTCAAACTGTTCAGATGCACCTTTAGTTGTCAATGGTACCTGCAGAACTAGGTGTAATTTCCGGTCTCAGTATATGGGAGCCAGTGCACCTAGAGGACTATTCAAAAACAGGGTGGTTCGGATGACTCAGGCACTGGGCACCCCTCTCACTTTGGGCAGGATCCCTGCAGGTGGATGGAGTGCTTGGAGGGTTCAGTTGAGGGTCTGTACCATCCCAAATGACTCCATCTCCACCATTTCCTCAGCAATCAAGCAGTACTTGTTGACATGTCATATTGAGAAGCCTGCCCCTGGAGCAACAGAATCCAATGGTATACAGTCTCTCTGATGTCAGTCAATGCTCAGCACCTAACGCTATCAACGGTTTTAACATCTAACAGAGCTTTAACAATGATTTATACCTGCACAGTGCCCAAAGAAAGGTAGGTTCACCTGGTCTCATAAACATACACAAACACACACACACACACACACACACACACACACACACAACATAGGATGAAATGACATTTTATAGTATTTCCCTACCAACTGTTTCAATATTTTTATTTATTTATTTTTATGTATTTGAGTGTTTTGCCTGCATGTATGTAAGTGTACCACATGCATGCATGGCCCTCAGAGGCCAGATGAGGGCATTGGATCCCCTGGAACTGGCATTAAGGACAACTGTTAAGGTGCCATGTGGGTGCTGGAAACTAAATCCTGACCCTTGGCAAGAGCAGCTAGTGCTCTTATCAGCTGAGCCATCTCTCCAGACCCCCTACCAACTTTATTACCAAAGTTACAAGTCTTTCTTGGACCTTTTAGGCAATCCCAAATGAGAAGAAAGTTTTCCTCTAGGGTTTGTTACTCTATACCAGATTCTCTTGGGGAATTTCTCAAATTCTCTTCAGGTATTCATATGTAATTTCTTGCTCTCAAATCTCAAAGGCATAGTCTCATCAACAGTGAAAGAATAATGACCATGTTTTTATCAAAGGGCAGAATACTGTTTTGGGTGCTGAAAGTGTCAACCTGTAATTTAGTACGCCTCTGATGCAAAGGAAGGAGCCTGAGTTAATACACAATTATTCCCTGCCTTCTGATAAAATTTCGATGAATCAAAATACTTTGCATGGAATATCTTTTCCTGAAGACACATTGGAAGTTACACAATGTTAGTGTTTCAGTCTCCCAGGCATGGATATAGCATTACCACCAATGGCTGTTTAAAGTCTTTATTCAATTAGTTAGAACTACTGCTACCTTCCTTGTGTATATCAAATATCAATTGAATTCTAGAATATAGGAAGAAATGGTGAATTTTTTAAATTGATGGACCTTATATTTTAATCTCCATTGCAATGTTTCAGAAGATGAAATTGGGTAATTTATAGAATTTATACATTTTATTGAAAATGACAATGTAGTCATTAGTGTTGGACTTCCACTACTCAGCAGGGCAAAGCCACCGAAACATCCAAGTCAGCAAACATGAAGCAGATGTTATTCTTTGAGTGATTTAAAAAGTGCTACCAACCCATTTATGCTCAGGCTAATGGCTGCAAATTAGTTTACAAAAAAGAGCAAATATCTAGTTCTAGTAGTCCTTCTATGTGGAGCAGATGAATTTTTAAAAAAACCTCAATTTTCTAAGCTCAGGCTTCTGTGTAGCTTTCCACCTATGATGTTATTACATAATGTGACTAAAGTACAACTTTAACATTTCAGCATACCAACATTTAATTAGAAAAATAAGGAAAATGAAGAATTTTTAAATGTCCAAGTATACGTAATATTTTCCCCAGAAATTCCTACAACTCTTTAAGCATTTTTACGACCATCAGCATAAAGGAGTGTCAGATCAATGTAAATTAAGAAACCCAATTATTCTTTCTATATATATATATTTGTGGAGCTCACTGAAAATTTTCATGTGTTTCATTTACATGTGTATTTTTGAAATAGACCATTGGTTCATTTCAATTTAGAAAACTTCCCAGGAACTCTTAATTCAATGTCCTACCATTTGTTACATTAATCCAGGAATTATCCCACAAAAACGTTTCCTAAAATTTTCTTGAACTGACAACTTTTCATGGGCACTTAATTACTATTTTGAATTTTAGATCATAGAATACAAAAGACTGTCAGTCTGTATCAGAATTCTGCCTTTCAACATAGAGCTGTAGCCATCTCCTTGTGCATTAGGCTAGTGGGGCAACATCTCTGATTCTAAGGATGCAGGGAATACTTTGTTCTACAGGTTACTATTGCCACTGGCTCAGAAGAAGTTCTCCTCAAGCAAAGTAGTAAGACAATTCTTGAACCAACAAGAGTGTAGGATGTTTAAATCTTTGTAGAGGTCAGGTTTTAAAATCCTCACAAATTCACTGCCATCTGACCAGTTTTGGTTACTGCAATCAAGAATGCTATTCTAGTGGTAAAAATAGCAGTTATAAACTAGGATTGCTGAGTTTTAAAATGACTATTTTTATCCCTCTTAAATAATGAACTTTGTTTATAATTTTCTTTGGAGGCTGTTTCTGGATGAATGAGAAATGTCATATCTCTTAAACCTATGTTAAAGACATTTATATGAAATAAACGTGACATGTTTGATGTACAAGCAAACTTTTTAATACATTTCTTTTGAATCAATTCATTTTAACTAATATAGTTTTTTAAAACTTAGTTTTTGGTCCTTTTAATATTTGCATGCTTAAAAATGTGTACATACGGGGAGCATGACAAGAAAGCATTTTGTTCTTGTTTTGAAACAGGGTCTCCCTACAGCCCAACTGACCTGGAACTTGCTCTGTAGACAAGGCTGGCCTCCAGAGTGCTGGAATTAAAGGCGTATGCTCCCAAACCCAATGCAAGAAACCATTTTCATTATTTACTTAACACATATTATATTTTCATTATTTACTTAACACATATTATTCTCTTAAATTTAATATTGTCCTTTATACAACACATTTCTATTTTAATCAAAGCTTTTTTGTTACAACCCTAATGTTCAAAACATTTCAAGAGGGAGTAGATAATCTCTATAAATGTGTCTGGCTGGCACGCAGATGGGAATAATATTCTAGGTTCTAGACATCCATATACTTAATAATCATAGAAATAAAATAAAACAGCCTATCTAGAAACAATCACAGGTTCCATGCAGCAGTAGTTCACATACATAATTGCAGGCTTCTTTATGTGCTTTGTAATAATCAGGAGTGTGGCTGTAAAACTCGGGATTGGCGCCTTAGGCACCATGGTGTGCACAGCCTGTGGAAGGCAGAGAGCCCCAGTCTGCGACCTCGGAGCGGTGGTCCCTGGCAGTACACCACTTCTTTCAAGCATCACCCTCTTCCACTGAATGGTGGCCGGGAGCTCAAACCCTGCAGCTCCATGGACTCCTTACCTGGAGGAGGCAGCAGCCGCAGCAGTGGACAAGGGCAGGTGCTGGAGCTGGAATGGCCAGAGGGAGCGCCCCGCCCGTGTGCCCACCCAGCCCTCCTCACCGCCCATTCGGCTCTCAGGGGCGTGGCAGCCTGGCGCATCCCGAAGGCGGGAGGCGAACCAACCCTACTCCGAGCCCGGAGTGAAGGGGGCAGGGTTGGGCCGCTCCCTGAGTCCCCGCCCCAGAGTTGCATGTGACAACTATCCTGGTCGCTGATTGGGGTATCTGGGACAGGGAGGCAGAAATGCCTGCTGACCTTTGGAAAGAAGGCAGCGTGTGAGAGGGTTTCTTAGCAACGGGCCTGCTGTGCAGAAGTTGTGGTTCCTAAGCATTAAGACAAAGCGTCAAGCAAAGCAAGTGCAGTGAAATTTAAAAGGGTGGGGAGGGAGGACCGTGAGCCACCAGCGTCTCCTCACCTAACATTCCACGTCGAAGGTATATAGGATATGAAAATGAGTCAAATGAATAAGAAACAAATCACATGGCCACCACACGAGTCTTGAATGTGAGTGTAGAATCTTGCCTGTGCCACTTTTTATCTGACTCAAGTAGTTCTGTGGACGACATGAATTGTTTCTACGAGTCCAACTGAATGCAGTTAATACACCTGCTATTTTCCGGGTGGAATATGGTTGAATGGAAATGCTGGTGGTGTCATTCGTATTGGGTTCTTCATATCTCCCAAATCTTTATCCGGGCCTTTATTCAACACACTAGAGAAAATTGGCCTTCATGCACTTGAAACTGACTATACAAAATATAGTATTCATTTCAAAGGGAACGAATCATTGTTCTGAGTTGAATATGACCATGGCCCAGGAACATGGATCCAGGTTTCCCCAAATAACTTGTTCCGCTGTGGAAATGGATGGTGAACTTTTCATGGTCACAGAACAACAATCAAAAAAGTCACAAATCAATGTTTTTTTCCAATGCATTGGTGGAAAGATCAGGTAAGTAGGTCATATAAAGCCCAGAAATCGCTCCTGTAGTTATTAGATGCTGTCTAATGACATGATTATCATTTGGATCAGTGAAAGCTAATGGTCAGCTAAGACATTTGAAAAATGTTGTCAATAGTTGAAGGTATGTTATATGTCAAATCAGAGATGGGCAATGAGAAGCATTAAAAAGACTAATGCAGACTCTAATAATTTTGACTCGGGATTTTTTTCCCAACTTACCTCAGTCGTGGAAGTTATATTTAGTTAATGATCCTATAGAATGTTCAATTTAACTGTGACTTTTTATAGAAATTCAGTTCACAGAATATAGTGGATTTATGACATTTATAGAGCTTTAATTATATGCCAGGTTCTGAATAACAGTCTACCCTTAGGAAGGGTAATTTTCTGGAAATAATTTCTGCTCACTTCTACTGTACAATTTAGTATTATTTTCTTCTGACATATTCTCTGGAGAGACTATTCCCTTTGATGACACATATGCTATTTTTGTAAATTAAAATTACCTAAAAGTTAACTTTCATCATAGACGATACAATTCCTAAAAATTAAGATCAGTTCTTACAATTGTTTGTCCTACATTCTAACAAAGTACCTAATGAACAGCAGGTCTTTAAAAAACATTTGATAGATAAATGAATATTAAGGGAATGAATAAAATAGCACACAATGTTCCACAGAATTCAGGGAGCACTGGTATGGAATTCAATTATTGAACTCTAAGTGTACAGTCATTTTAAAATGTTATGAGTTTATTTTAGAAGAGGGAGTTTAGAAGAAAGTTTTCTTCAAGAGTATTCAAGAAATAGAGAAGAATAAATAATAAGATTTCACCAGATAGAAAAGGAACGGGCATGCTCTACAAGGGCAACATTCAGAAAGTACAATATGAATTCAGTCTTGCTTGCAGTCTTTGGAGTGGGTGAGGGTGGCTATGCAAATATATGAACGGGACTAGAAATTGGGGAAGGGAAAAATAAAACTAGAAAAAAAAATGCAGCTTAGGGGAGATATAGATTTCAATTTGGGGGGGACCAAGAGAAGCTATGAAAATCAGTGAAGTTAAAGTTTCTTTCTTGAGGAATGATACCTTGGAATTTGTATATAAGGATGCAGAAAGATAAAAAGAATGACTGATTGAGAAAAAAAAAATCTCAGTTTCATGAAAAACCATGTTGGTTACCCGGGCTACAACAATGAAATCAATAATAATAACAAAGGCATGAAATAATGGCAAGACCATTCATATGAAATACCCTAAAAATTTCACTTGTGACTCTTTAGGTGTATGATTCACCTAAAGAAAAAAATATCTCTCCATGTGAAAATATAACATTCATAAGGATCTAAATACACACAGTTTAAAAATGAAGACAATATTGATACATTAAACATTACAGAATATATGCACAGACACACATATATATCTATGCACACCACACACATGGCCCACATTTGGAGGTCAGAGGACAACCTGTGGCAGCTGATTCTCTCCTCCCACAGTGTGAGTTCTGGGAATTGAACTCAGGTTGCTTGGTTTAGTGGCCAGCACCTTTACCAGATAAGCCACCCCCAGCCTGGTTCATTAGTTGTCAATAGGAGACTTAAACAATTACAACTGTAGTTAGATTTTTAAAATTAGCACAACTTTATCTCTAAGGAAAAGATCTCTTCATTCCATTTTTCACTCTTTTATTCAAATAATATTTAACATGAGCTCTTCTCTCATAAGTAAAAGAAGTCACTCAGGCTGATTGACATTTCCTGAGCTGTTATTAGTTCTTACTTGAAGTACATGGAGTTCTTTGTCATTATATTTAAAAGAAGTGTGATTAGGGAAATCAAATCGCTCCAGTCAATTCATCTTTGAGGCCAGGCCTCTTTTGTAAGAGCAGTGAATTTAACAAGATGTTCAATGCAATTTAATTTGACAAATGCTTTTTTAGTGGCCATTTTGATTTTTTTTTTTAAGCCAGAGAATTCAAAATAAAAGTTTAGGAAAATTTAGTCACAGAGACTTAAGATTCACTTAGCTGAAATAGCCTCTCACACTATGCTAGTGTGAACATCCTAACAACAAAAACATATGACAGAAACACTCTAGCAAAATAGTATGAAGTAAGTACATATAGATGTTAGGACTTAAAACTTTATGGTATGTAAAAGCACCTAAAATTGAAGTTGTTTTTAATAGTTCCATAATCTATACACACAATATCAGCTATTTCTATAAAAATATTCAAAATTAGCACTTATGTGATTATGATTTCTATTAAAGCTGATACTCAGATATCAAAAATACTCAAATTAATCAATAATGGCAGAACCTTTAGAATTTTATCTTTACAAGAACACTGATTATTTTAAATTACACTCAAAGTAATAGATTTCATGATTTTATTTTTATGCATACTTAGTTCTGATTTGTGTACTTGCTCCCTCCTTCACTGATCCCACATGCCCTGCATGCGCGTGTGCACACACACACACACAAATTAAAATCTAGATTCTCTGAGAAAAGTATGCAGTGTTCATCTTTCTGAATCTGCTTTGTTTTGCATAATATGATTTCCACCTGCATGCATTTTTCAAATTTATCTTTTCTATTTTTGAGAATTTCACATGTAAGTACTGTATTGGCATCATTTCCACTTTTACCTCTCCCTCCTCCAATTCCTCTCTCATTCCCCCATCCTTGTTAATTTTGTGGCTATTTGCATAATTATCATTGCTGTATATGTACATATATATGTGAATATAGTGAATCCATTTAGTGACACCTGTGTAAGTGTGTTTAGGAATGACAAATTGGGACTGGAAAACTGAAGAAAATTGATTCTCTTTATCTCTTCAGCCATCTATGGCCTTTAACTCTTCATCTAGTGGTGGGGTTTTGTGATGCTTTCTCCATCCACGTTGGCATATCTTACTGGTGCTGTCATTATGTGACTCTTGTGTAGGCAGCCCTATTGTTGAGAGTCCATGCATGCAGGTTACTTGCCATGTCCAGAAGACAATATCCGCATCAGGTATCCAGGTTCTCTGGTGTTGGGAAACCCTGCTGTTAGGGCTGTAGTTCTCCATGTCTGGATAGCCCTAAGGAGCTTGGTGCCAAATGGAAGGACTCCCCTTTTCAGCAGGGGACCTCCTGCTCTCTTCCTGGCTTACCTGGAAAGTGCCAGCAAGCATGGATGCCTGACCTTATTTGGAACATGACCTTTGGCATAGTTACCTGGAGTAAAAACTACCCCCAGGTTTTTTTCTATATGATAATTAGGCATTTTCATGTAAATAAAGCATACTATGAGCACCTATCAGCTGAGGCTTTGGCTACTGCCTCCACACTATAATTTCTCTAGTTCTCCCACTGAATAAACGGAGCTGTTTCACTGAGTCTGGAGCTGTATCACTGCATCTAGAGCTGTTTCTGTTTCACTGTGTCATGAAACCTGCCTCTCCGGAAGGGCTTTCTTCTGTCAGTGCTCACTGGCTGTCCTGACTCCGTTCGCCACTTCTGCTTCCCCTGCCCTCGTGGACCAGTGGCCAACAACCCACGAAGAGAGGGAGAGACCCCCGCACTCTGGCTCTTAGAATCTCTGCTCCACTCTTCTGCCATGTTCCCTGAGCCTTAGGTGTAGGGGTTATATTTTCCACACACCAAATTTTCTTCATCCATTCATCTATAGATGGACACTTGGGCTAGGTCTTACAAAAATAGAGATTTGTTTATTTAAGTTTAAAAAATAAGAAATATTTAGGCAGGAAAATTCAGAGCACTACAATCAACATTTACCTATAAGAAATTTGACATTTCTGCCATAATTGCTTGCTTTTTTCTTTTTAGAAATTATAGAGCATAATCATTCCTTTTCTCTGGCCATTGGATTTAGCTCCCATTTTACCCAAATGTAACTAGCGTTTGAGTATAGTATAAACTTGATTTATTTTTTGCCTTATTTTTAAGTGATATATATGTTAGTTATGTAGGTATAATTAGTTCATTATGATCTCATTAGGAATATAAAACATGTTAGCACAATTATTCATCTACTTGTTCATAAGAATA